GTACTCTAAAAGGACAGGTGGTTTACTTCAGAAAGCAATATTTGCATGAAATTAGAAACCCCTGTATAGTGCTATGTCCTGAATATATGGGACTAATAATCAAGAAGGAAAGAAAGTATAAATGTCCACATTTATAATCACTTCCGTAACCAATCATCACCAATGAACCAATGAGTGAGTTTGTGCTTTTTATCTCTGAAGTCATGGTCCCTCCAGTTACACTCTTGCTAGGAGACCATTAAAGTTCCTATTGATGTATATATTACCATGCTGCCAGAGTACTCTGCACACCTTGTTCCTGGGGAATGGAAGGAAAAGGGTAACTATCTGTCAAAAATAATTGATACAGATCTACGAGAGGAGGTGGGGCTGCTATTTACAATTGGCTCAAAGACAAATATATGTGGAACCTTGGTGATCCATTTGGTTATCTCCTGTCACTCACTACTTCTCCTCACTATAACTCTCAACACATACATACATCAATCTGACCTAACAAGGATATAATAACCAAGAGTTTGGACCTCTCAGAAATGAAAGGTGAAGTTACAACACCAGGTTAGTTATCAAGAACTTCTGTGTTCTCAATGCATGAGGGTGAGGAAGACCTAGAAAATAGATATGAAGGAGTAAGTAGCTGACCTCAGATCAGCTGCAGCCATGGGCTGTAGTACATTCTAGGAACATCTCTATTCTAGTCTTTTCTCATGAAGAAAGGCCCAAGGGACCTGGAGTAGCTGGTCTTAAATTTGTATGAGGTAATAGTGTAGTGTGGCATATCTCTTATGGGAAGTATATTTGACACTTTGAACTCATCTTAGCCTTCTCTGGGTACCTTTGTGTTTTCGTTTTCTGGCATTTCTCCCTAGTTAGTTTATTGCACAGATAATACCATCCCTGGTTCTGAGATGACCCAAGTTAATGTTTGATGGACACTTAAGTATTTGCTAGAGCATCCATGCTTATTTTTTGGTTTGTAACCTATCTATTTTTTCACTTTTTTTTTAATAAGAGTATAATGATTTATGTCTGTCTATATATTTCCATTGTTTAAAATAATCATGAAAAGAAATATGCTTTTTTCTTTAGTTACCTTAAATCCATTCCTAGAATATTCTCAAAATATAAAAATATATAAATGACCAAATTATGATTGGAATTATAAAAATTATATTCAATTTTAAAAATAACTAAAATTCATATACTTCCTTGACTTCAAATCTACTGTTTGGTGATGAAAGTGTTTTATAAAATGGATTTATAGGGATGTGTATTTTACATTTTCAGCACGTTAAGAGTGAGGAAATACATACACAAATGCTCTATAAAACAGAGATTTAGGTAACTAGTTATATAATATTAGTTTACTTTTAAAGATAATTAATTACACAGAAAGGATATATTTTATCCCTGTCTCACTAACACAACCACTATTTGGTTGATGCTATATAATACCAAACACAATTTATAATGCATATTTAACTGTAGTTGCAAATTTTCTCCATCAAGATAACAAAAAATATTTTTGAATTATCTCATAAATTCCACTACTTTATACAAAGACAGTTACTGTTACTTGGAAAACAGGAAAAAAAGAAAACCACATTCATATATTTTTAAAAATTTAAAATAAATTTTTTATAAATGATGTTGGGTCAATATGCTTTATAAAACAGATTAATCAGACTAATTTTAAGTTTTAATATATTCCATGAGTATTTGGTAATATCATTTAACTTATTGTTTTAGTCAGCTTTTTTGTTGCTGTGACTATAGGATCCAACCAGCACAATTTTAAGAAGGAAAAGTTTATTTGGAGGCTCACGGTTTCAGAGATCTCAATCCATAGACATCAGACACCATTTCTTGAGGCTCAAGGCTGAAAATCATAGAGGAAGAGTGTGGCAGAGGGAAGCAGCTCACATGATGATCAGAAAGCTGAGAGAGAGAGAGAGAGAGAGAGCTTCACTTGCCAGTTACAAATATATATATACCCCAAAGCCACGCCCCCAATGCCCCACCTGCCTTCAATTACTACCCAGTTAATCTCATCAGGTGAGCAATTCACTGATTGGATTAAAGATTCGAGAAGCCCAGTCATTTCCCCTCTGAACCCTCTTTCTTTGTCTCACATGTTAGTTTTTGGGGGACACCTCTCATGCAAACCATAATACCTATGGTATTATTCTAATTTCCATAACAATAATTTCTATTTGAATGATTTCATTTTAAATTATAAAGTTATCAATTAATAAGATGCAAAAACAACATTTAACTGTGATAACATATTATTAAAGTAGATATTAAATAAATGCCAACTATTTTGGGAATAAATGTCTAAAAAGTACATAAGTTCAAGTTGATTGTGGAGACATATGGTTAAAATAATGGAGCTAGAAGTACTAAAAAGAATGAAGAGATCAAGATACAATGCTTAAAGAAAAATGCTTTCACCTGTTATGTTTCTTCTAACAGCATTCAGATCTTTTATGATCATTTTAATTAACAGCTCTTCACAAAGTGACTACTTGTCAGAAAGAAGCACATTTTATTGCAAACAAATTCTTAAGATAAACATGACTGGATATTTTAATAAATGCCTTTTCAGAGTGATGATGCATGAAGCCAATGCTGAAATGTTTTACTTTCCTGAGGTGGGTATTAATATGATGTTAAAATATAGTGAAATAACAATATGTGTCTCTAGGTATGTTAAAAGTAACTCTAAGCATTGTGTGATCTATACTCCTAAAACAACTGAAACAAATATCACACATATATAGTCAATTATATATTTTCTTCTACTTTACACCTGATAAAGGATATTAAATAATTTTATTTAAGCACATTTTTCTGTCATATGACAATAGTATTAGCTCCTATCAATCTATTCATTGCAAATAGAAACTCTTGATCACTTTTTATTTGCATGCTTTAAAAAACATCTTTAGGGTCTGGAGTAATGGGGTATGCTTGTAATCCCATTAACTAGGAAATCTGAGTCGGGAGAAGCACACATTTAAGGCCAGTCTGGCAATTTAATAAGACATTCTTAAAATTTTGAAAAATAAAGTTATATAGATAGGGCTATGATGTAGTTCAGTGGTAGAGCATGCCTGGGTTCCATTCCCATTTTCACCAAAATAAACAAAGTCCTTTGAAGATGGTACTATAGCTCAAGTGGTAGAGAACTTGCCTAGCATGGATGAACAAGGCCCTATATTGATTTCTGTATCACAAATGTACACACACATCATCATCATCAATATCACTCTAAAGCTAATCTCAATTTAACAACGCAATCAGTAGTTGAAGAGCATGGCCTCAAGATGATGTAAATTTTGACAGATTGTTTGCATTTAGGCCACATTATGCAATACATTGTTTATAAAATTTGAAATGAATGGTCTAATAGTGCATCACCTTTTTACTCTTTCTGCCTGATGCATAACCCAGGAAGAAATTTGACCTCATTAGCAATGGAGACATTAATAATGGTAGCTGTGTAGTTCACAAACTTGTCAGTCACCTTCTGTATTCCAAAAGGACACATACAGCATCTGTGCAAAATAACTACAAAAATAATTGGCTAAATAAACTTCAAAATATTATGACATTTTGTGGCTCTTTAAATGAGATAATTGGCTTCTAATCTGATGTAGCTAATGTTTGAATGATTGTTGTCACCGAATGGTCCCAGAAAGACTAATAAAAAAAGATCTTTTTTGAGTATGAAATTGCTATAAAGAAAGAATATGAATTCCTGCCTCTCTGCTTCCCCTACTTGTTATGCTCATGAGATTTATACATAGAACAGCTTGGATTTCAGATGCCACAGCCTGTTTTTACAGGGAACATTAATAAAAATTGGAGGAAGAGAAAAGGAAGAACCTTAATCAATGTGGGGTATGTAAATTCAATTTGTGTGGGCTGAGGAGCCTTTCCTTGAATCTAGTAAGGATGGTATTTATTGGACTGTGTGTTTCCCCTCTTTCAAATGTTTCTTTATCTGCTGTCACCGTCTTGTTTTACTGACATGAGACAGATCTATATCATTAATTCTAGAGGTAGTAATTCTAATTATCCTTCCACTCTTTACTCTTTTGGTAGTGTGGCAGTGGAATTTGAACATGACAACACTCAGGGCATGAGCAGCTGATTTGAGTCCAAGGGACTTGGGTTACTCTTCAGGCTATCTGCTGTGCACTTAAGACAATTTGAAGTTTTACTTTAGAATATGGAAATAGTTGCTTTTTATTTTGAAATGAAAGAAAACATCAGTTATTTAGACAACTCTCTAAAATGTGGATGGTAACAGGGTCCTGAGAGGTAACTTCAGATCATGCGGACTCTGCTTCTCTGTGCTGCAAAGAGGTTTAGCTGGAAGAGGAAATACTTTTCCCAAATCACTACCTTCAGAGACAAACTGCAGGGGACTTGCTTTGTGATGTAATTTGCCCTTTTAAAACAAACAAATAAACAAACAAACAAACAGTGAATTAGATACATTTAAATAACTACTGATTTAGCTTGTAAGGAAATATAAATCTCAAACGATCTCTATTCTTTCAATATGTTTTTTATCCAAGAATGTTGCATGGAAAAAAACAAATGATTGATTTGGATAGAAACATCAATGTTTTCTTCCATTACAAAATGTAAAAAAAAAATAATAACAATAAAAACGATTTTGTATTGGTATGCTATTTCCAATCACAAGTAGCATGAGGTGAATTGAAAATATGTTTCTCCTTTTCCTTTTTGTCCTTTTTATTAATCCATCATCTACATAATGTTTACAAGATTGCTGTAGCTCCATTGTTTTCCTTCCTTTCTTCTTTGTGACATTGAATTAGCATCTGAGAAATTAATTGCCTCACCACTCTGTACTAGCTGTTCCATTGTCTGGTATTGGCCCCTCTGTCCAAGATTGTTCTGCTTACATCACTGAGCAGAGAGCAGCATGCATCTTTTCAGTGTTTGTTTCCTGACAGCTCTTGTCTTCAATAATAGGGAGACAGAGCTTTCAGAGGCTGTATTAAATAGACTTACTCAGTTTGTTTCTGCTGTTGCATTACACAACAAACCTGAAAGAAAATATATATACTGAGAAGCATATCTGGCGTAATTCCCAGGTACGTTGCCCCAAATGTTTTCTTTCAGGATTTTGAATTCAGTTTCTATGGGTAGGAACTTATCCTGAGGTCCATATTCATTTTATTCATGTGACAATTAAAAGAAGTAGTAAATTAGTAAATTCATCAATAAGGCATCATGTCACTTTGAACAATAGGAATCTATTGTTATGCTCCTGTTTGAAAATCAGACAACTAGGGCAAGAGGTAGAACTTAAAACCATAGCAACAAAGACAAAATATGACCAAAATTCAGCCACAAGCAGTAGGATAGAATAACTCAAAGGATGTCTGATTTTTCTCTTCTGGTTATGAACTTTTCCTGAGGGCAAAAGAAAGTGGAAAACAAATGATACAAGATTGCTTGGCTATACAGCTCTTTAACTAATAAATTATCAAAGTTTTACTAGGAGGCTAAAAATTGCATGCTTGGTTCCTCACCCCCTTTTGGAATTTAATATGTTGCTTAAAGTATCTAAAAACCAAATACAAAATTTGGTGCTACAAGTTTCTAATAATCATACAACCTCCTACCATTTTGTTAGTATTTTTAGAAAGAAAAAGTAAAATTTCACCTCATGTCTTGAAAAAGTAAATCTTTCACAAGTCACATTTGAATTTTGCTAGTTCGTGCTATTCAGATCTATAATTCACCTCTCTGGGTTTTGCTTATTAGTGAAATAATGATAACTTCTTTAAATACTCTTGGAGATAGCAGCTAAGTCAAGTGTCTTATAAGGACCAGCTAGCTATTTTGTATGCTGTAGGGTGAAGTGAGTGGCAATTGTGAATATTCTTGGCAACATAAATAATATGTAAATAAGTCATGCTCTCTTACAGATAATAACTGTAGAGTTTTTACAGTGAAACTAAGATATCATAATGCTTGAAGAAGAAGAAGAAATACGTAATTGTTCTAGTATGCTTCTTAGATTTTTTAAAAAATGCACTGAATGATTTTTAATGCTCTGAATGATCTCAGCTGAAAATTATCTATAGCTCTAGAGGGCAGAAGAAAAAATAATTATCTGATATTTATTCCTTTCTTTGTTTTCTCTCTAATTGGCAAAAATAGAGCTAAAAAATTCTGATGCATGAATTGCGGAAGAGAATATCGAAACTGGCAGAACAGAGCACTGTAGAACTTATCCCACCTGTCCCAGGACTCCATAACCTTTATGCAGTAGGGGAATGTGCATGGGGTGGTCTATGTGAATTCAAAAAGAAGCCCTATTTCTGAATTTATGTTTAGAAAAAATGACTCATGGGACTGACATTCAAAAAGGAGGCTGGTTGAGAATTGAATCAGTTCTTACCTTGGAGAATAATAAGGATGCTTCTTGTGAAGTAGGTTTTCCCAAGATTTATCAAATCACAATCTATTTGGACCTAATGGGATTGTTATGTAGACCAGAAAGATAGGGTAGTTTAACACTTTTAGATTTCTAAGAAAGAAGTATGTTGAAGTGAGTGAAAATACTATTATTGTGAAGTCATAGAATCCCATAAAGTTAAAATATATTTTCTCAAAAGCACTTCTTACACACTATGAAACTATAAGCACAGTCATTTCTACACTATCTTTTTAAATCCAAGGAAAGTGCAGGCAACTAACTACTATTTAATAAAAGTAATAGAAGCTGTTCCTTTTTGCAGAAAACATTTTTCATCTACCCAGTGCCAAGAAGGAATATTAATATTGATTCAGACTCAGATATGAATCCTGACCTCAAAAGTACTGAATGTGATTAGCCTGTATGTGCATTGGCCCCACGGATTATGAATTCTGACTTTTTCTTCATGGTCACAGTTTAAATCAAAGCAGTTTGAGCTTTCTATAGTAACATCAAAACTCTCTATATTTTTAAATGATTCTGATACAGTCTATAAAGAACAGAAAATGATTTTTTTGTTTGTTTGTTTGTTTCCCCCACTGTATTTCTCATACCACCATTCCATTTACTGTTAGGACATAAATTCTCAAAATAATTTTTTAAGGAGTTAGAATATGGTAAATGCACATTTTTATCTTAGTTAACTATACAGGTGAAATAATAACAATAAAGTAAGCAGATTCAGAGATAATAAAATGCATTTTTCTCTTCTAAAGGAAACCTTCTGCATAACAGCAGACTATCCCAGAACATGTGAAAAACAAGAGCACTCAGACTCAAGGAATCATATATCTTTAAATAGCCTTTATTTACTCAGCTGATTTAGAAATGCAGTGTTCCTTTAAAAGGAGTAATTCTGTGTTTCTTTGTGATTTTAAAAACACAAACTCAGATGACACCACTTTCAAGTTTGGGAAATGTCAACCTCGAAATTATGTTTACTTTCAGCTAGAAATCCAAATCCAGGTGCAGAAATCTTGAAAACTAATTACTTTTTGTCTTTTACACTTCCTGAAATCTCTCCTTGGTGATGCACATCATCTATATAGTCCATAGATTTTATTGTGGATGACTCAGACATAGACATTTTCTTTCAGAGTATTTATCTCTTTGTCTTGGGTCAGTTATTTTCTCCCAATTACATTATTTTATTTTCTGCCCTTTCTTTGCAGTTTTTTTGGGTTTTTTTTTTCCTCATTTACTTTCTCAATTTCTTTACCCCCCAGGCTCCTTCATATATTTATTGTTAAGAAATCTAAGTGAACCAAATTGTAGGTTTTTCATGCACAGCATCATTTCAGAACACTATTTAGTAACTTGATTCCCACTGGTTCTATACTTTCTAAAAAGCACAAAAACAGACAAGATAATACATTTAAAAACATGAGAATTGAGAATGGCTAAAGACAGATAAGTAAGTCCCGATACTTTTCTGTCATTAAGTTTTGATGAAAATAGTATGATTTGAAATGTGGTTTTTGAATTGTCTGGGCAAAGCCTGCAGTGTTTCACAGTCTTCTCATCTTTCTACATTTGAAATTATGCCTTGGTGACAGTGACACGAAGACCACACCAAAAAAAAAAATCAGGTTTTCCTAATAAATAAGTTTTCTGTGGTTATTTTAATTATTTAAAATCATATTGTAGAAACAGTCCACTTGTAAAGACTGGCCACATGCTTGGTTTTGAGAGTCTGGTCCCAAAGAAGATTATCGGCCTTTCTTTGTTCTTTGTATAAAACTGTATAATCTTTAGGATTTTCCTGTTGATTATGCCTTTCAAAGTTTCTGCAGTCTCTTTAGGGGATCAGACTACTTACATGTTAAAATAAGCTTTTGGTGGTTAATAATAAAATTACTTTATCATACGTTTGAAAATTATTACACAATATATACACATAGCGATTGCTCTAGTTTGTATCTTCAACATCTCTCACATGCTCACATATTAAAAGCTTTGTCTCTAGGAGGGAAATTTTGAGAGGTGGGGCCTTGTGAGAGTTCCTTTGGTTCTTGGGGCTTGTCTTCCCAGGAGACCACAAGACTAATTTCTCTCTTTTTCCTGCTGTGAGATGGGCAGTTTTATCCACCACAAGGCCCTATGCCACAATTCTGCCACAATGTGCTGCCTACCACAGGCTCACAGCAATGGAACCAACTGATCACGGACTTAGAACTTTCAAATCTGCAATCCAAAATAAACCATCTCTCTTTATAAATTTTTTATCTTGGGTATTTTTTTTAAGGTGGTAAAAATCTTACTGATACAAAGGCACCTAACTGAGTTCTTTACTGAATCCTCCAGAGTTTACGTGGCATTATCTGAGCACATAAAGTACTCTTAATTATTTAGGATTACTGATAAAAGAATAAAAGTCACATGAAGGGGCTAACAGGTAGGAAAGCCCATAGGTGGACGAGGTAACTTGGGAAATTTGTCACTGTGTGAATCCTTCTTGGGTGCAATTTATGGTGCCTTGATACCCCATTTCCTTCTTTGTTCCTCTGAACATTTAGCAAACTTTCATTGAATCACCGTTAGAGCAGATGCATACAAGACAAAGTGAACTCAGAACAGTTCCTGAGAAATCTATGAAGCAGACAACTAAGCACACAGCTATAAGATTAAGTGGGTACTAGTACAGTGTGGAAGAAAAGGGCCTATGGGTATCCTAAGGCAATTAGGACACAGGACAATGAAGTATCTCTGAGGACTTTAGAAGCCTCTGAAATGTTCTCTGCATCAGAGTGGCTTAATCAACACTGTGGTGTCCAGTACACTATCAAAATGCTTTTCTTTCAAGGTTAAGGTTTGTTAATTTTTTCCTGCCTCTTAAGTGGTGATAGGAAATAAAAATTTAGGCCCTTGATGTTAAAAAATCATATTAATATGGAAGTGACCTTAGATATATTATTGTATAATTAGAATTTATTGGGAAATATTGTTTAAGGTTTAACATTGTATTAATTTTCTTAGATGTCAAACTACAACTAACTCAGTAACAAAGGGATATTTTCAAGTATTGAATAGATAAATAAATGCTGCTCTCTGAACCACTTATGAAAGAAAATTATGGGAGAGGAATTTAAAAATAGAATTTGTCTAATAGGTAAAGCAGGTATAAACCATAAAAAAGAGAAAACTAATTAAGTAAAGAAAATTCAAGAACTAAGTATCAGTATATATTTCCCAGAAGGAATATGGGGAGATCTTAGTGGAAGGCTAACACAGTAAAATTATGTAGAAAAAGAGAAATTGTAGAAAATTATGTATCTTAATAACTAGTTTTAAACTAATACTTTGTATATCCCGGTTTTCAGTTTATTTTGTCTAATTTTCTTCTGATTATTGTTGTAACCCTCTTATGGATTATCTTCCTTTTTTCAGTTTTGGGGAGCAGCTATCATGTAGAACTGAAGCTCTCTTTCTCAATTATTGAATCACAACAATCATTTCATATTAAGGGGAACTGTAAAAGCTGCTTATAAAAGTTGGTGTCAAGAACCTGTAATGAATAGATTTTCAGTCTTAAAGTTATTATTTCATAAGCAATGAACTTCACACATCCAAGTCCCTGAATTTTCTTGGCATTAGCTTTAAACTCTATCCACAATGTGACCACATCTTAACTACTTCTATCACTGTCACTTAAGAGCCTGTTGTGGCCATATATTGAATTATTGCAATTCCTTCCACTTCCACTCTTATGCCTTCATATTTTATTCTTCCCTAATGGAAAAAGTGTACTTTGATATGTAAGTCCCAGTGTAACACATGGGCTCCCATCCCACACAGAGTAGAAGCCACTTCTACAGTGTGACCTGGTCCTGTGCTGTGACCCTGTCTTCATTCCTCTCTATGCTTCCTTTGTTCCTCAAGTGCAGCTATTCTACTCCTGCAACAGGCAAAGCAGAAGCAAGTCGCCCTCAGGACTTTTGAAACATGCAGTGTTCTTTAACTGAGGAGCTCTATTTTTCCTTATTTGTTTGTATGCTTCTTTACTTCCTTAACACCTTCACTAAAACCCTAGCTACTGACTGATATGATAGTTTAAAAATCTTACTTAATATTTTAACTTTTTTTTTTTTTAAACCAGAGGGGGTTTGTGGAGGTCGCAGAAAGAGGCAGCTCAGGATGATGGACTCTTGACATATGTCACAGGAATTGATTTCAAGGCATATTAAAGGCACAAGCAGAGATTCGTTCAGGTAAGTGAGGAGTACACATTCAAGGGGGGAATGCAGGCTATCTCAAGAGTGAGGTGTGCCTTTGGGGGTATCAGGCTATTAATTTCAAAATAACCCTTGTGAAAGGTGGGCATGGGAAGGTATGTGGAGAAGACATCTGTCTTGTGAACACAAAAGTTCTAGCTGGTCTCACTTATTTGATCAATAGGGAACATTTGGGGAAATACACTGGTTTATAGGTTTCTTAAAATGTCATACTCCCTTTGTTTAACTTATTCTAAAAATAAACATAATAGCACAGGGCAATTGTCATGAGTAAATTTATACTAATTTTAAAGTTGTGTGGGGATTTAGAGTAAGCTTAAGATTTGTAGATTTCTCAAAAAGGTGGGAGTCGCAGGCCTGAAAGAGAAACTTACTTGGGGAGAAAAAGTATAAGGGACTTTAGCAGGTAACTTTCAGACTGAAATTGTGATCTCCTTTTTCTTCCTTTTGCTTCAATTTTGTCTATCTTTATTGTTCCCTGTATCCTACATCAGTAACAGCCCATGTTAGAAAATCTAACTAAATCTTCTCATTTGATTCAACCAATTTAATTTAGATTTTAAGTTACTAAAATAGTAAAAACTATTTTAACCTAGAGGAGGTTAAACCTTAAAATAGTTAAAAACTATTTTAACCTATATAGTAACCCTAAGAAACCAATCTGTATTCTAATCCACTTGTAGATAAATTCTTTACATGTAGAATCTACAGTAAGTGATGTTTTAGATGTGGTAGTACAAAAGTATTTAATTTCATCTTAAGCCATACCAATCATCAAATTGTGTGTAGTTTTTTTTTTAAGAGAGAGAGAGAGAGAGAGAGAGAGAGAGAGAGAGAGAGAGAGAGAATTTTAATATTTATATTTTAGTTTTCGGCAGACACAACATCTTTGTTTGTATGTGGTGCTGAGGATGGAACCCGGGCTGCACGCATGCCAGGCGAGCATGCTACCTCTTGAGCCATATCCCCAGCCCCTATGTGTAGTTTTAAAAGAAATGAATCTGACTTAACTTTCCTATGTACACATATAAATACACCACACATCATGTACAAACACAGACTGGGATCCTAATTTGAATAAGATGTATTCCATGTCAAAATATCTTCTACTAACTATAACTAAGAAGAACAAATAAAATTTTTAAAAATAAAATAGTTATTGTTTCAAAATTCACTTTTATTATTTGAAATCAAATTAGTATACATATTGAAATATGTTGAAGTTTTATCTCTCCTTACATTTATTTATGAACATACTCAACTTCTCAAGACTTAAGCACTATAAAAAATAAATTTAAAAATCAGTATTTATTGTTAATTTTTTTTTGTTCTTAAGTTATTTATTGTGTCTTTTCAGATAACTTTTAATCTCTTTAATTCCTTTGCTCTCGAAAGGAAGACAGTATGTAACATATAATATGTAGTAGTGCTTATTAGCATATACAAATACTTGTTTCAGTTTTAACAAGTTCTTTATCTTCACAGTTCCTTTTTACATTTAACTCTAAAGATGTTCCTTCTCTAGTTGTTGTAGTTCAATGAAACATAGAAAACAAGTTCCAAAAACTTTACTCAGTGACTAACTCTAAAGATGGTTCTATAAATTAACCTGTAGACACAGTCATCTTATAATAACTTGCCATTAATAAGGAATCATCAGATGATGTTGTCTGTAATACATATATAAATGATGTCTTGATATATATATATATATGTGAAAATGCACACACATATGTACCCAAACATAGTAAAATGATTACTCAAGCCAAACAAACATACATATCCTACTCTATGCTTTCGTGTGGTTCTCAGGTCTTTATTTATCTGTGTGTGTGCAAGTGCATTTGTATTTCTAGTCACATTTTTTCAATACATTTAGTAGCTATGATAAATATGTCTTTTGTTTATTCTAGGGAAAGAAACATTCATATTTCAATCATTTTTTAAACTTTTGATTTTTAATCTTCACACATTTGACTCATGATTTATTATTTTAATGCACATTTATTCCAAGTAGCCTACTTAAATAGGTCAAATTTTACAAGCATTCTTCTATCTCAATTTTTTTTCTCTGAATTTACAGTATTTTTGCATTCACGGGTACAAAAACATCTAAATTTATTTTATTAAAGAATGCATTCAGTTTACCATTTTCTTAGAGATGGGTGAATGAGCCATAATTTTCATTTGTCAAATGGCTTGTGTTATTTTTCAAGCAGTTTTGGATTATTGTATAATAAATTAGTTTTTTTCTGACAGAGTTGAACTTAAAAAAATCTTCATGAGAATAAATCATCTCATTCTTTATGGAACATGGAAGTATTGTTGTCCATAAAATTTGGATGGATTGCAAATGAATCTTATAGTGAAAGACATAGGATTCAAATTATATATATATGTTTGTGTATAATTGAAACCTATAGTAATATAAATTTTAAAGTATGCATTTTCTTTTGTTGGTCTCCAAAACAAAGCAAAACAAAGTACACAACACTGCATCTACATTCAACAACCTTACATCATTATTCTATTACATTAATGCTCATTAGTGTTACCCTTGAACATTGAATTCAACAAATGTAGAACTCAAGTAAGTGGGTCAAAATGTCTCTATATATTCTTTTTAAATTATTTTGTAAAAATAGATCTGAATATTCAAGACTGAAATGACGTATGGTACTTTTGAAAACATTCAGATTATTTTTTCACACTATTTGTTAGGCAAATGACTAGGCATGTTGTAATTCAGGAAATAATACCCAAAATAAATAGCATAAAGAAAGATCACATAAATTTAAATATGTTAATATGGGGTTAAAAACTCTAGTTAGAATCCATTGCTATCTCATGCACATCTAAGCGTACTGTGGATTCAAAAGTTAGGGTGATACATGCACTGTATTCAATGATATTTGGATGGTTCATAAGGAGCCCCATAATATTGAAGTATATATGTTATAACTTAAATGAGTATTACTGTCAGTTGTTAAATGAGTGTTCTCAACACTTAATACATGAAAAATAACAACCAAAAAAAAGTTGTTTCTCACTGTAACTACAATAATAAAAATTGGGGGTGTGGAATTTGGCACATTTGTTTCATTACATCATTATTCACAATGCAGCAGATCTTAGAGCATTTTGGATTTTATATTATTGGATTAGAGATGCTCAATCTGTATTATCTTCTTCATTTTTCAGATGAGGAAAATAAGGCACAGAAATGTTAAACATATTGTCTAAGATCACTGATCTAGTAACTAGAAGTTCCTTAGAACCTGGCCAATCTGACATTCACAATGTCAGTTTCACAGAAACTTAATCCCAGGTCTTGCTGAATGCAGATTTGGGCTGCAGACTGAGCATGTGCATTTCTGCTCATCTTCTAGTTGTTGCTCCTGTTGTTCTTCAGACAAGATGTGGAGAAACAAAGCTTTACACTGTTTTCTCTGGTGAGCTAGGCAGGGATGGAACAAGGAAGCAGAATAAAGGACCCCTTTTTCTCATAAATGCTTTCCATGGCACCCAATTTTTCATGCCAAAGCAAGCAGAAGATTGAGGTGCCTAGACCTGATAAAGCTTAAGCAAGGTATTTCTGTTCTGATGGCACCTGTAATATCAGGCTCATTGCCTTATAATTACATCACATTAATTTTTGAAACCAAAAAATTCTTTTAACACAAACTAAAGGAATGTTTCATGTTCATGTAAATTTACTGATATGATTAAACCTTTGGAAGAATTTGATGTTATTCTTAATATAACTTCAGAGAGAGCTATGAGATTAAATAAGATGCTCTTCATCTTGTATACTATGGGCCCTGGTTTAAATAATTCAAAATTTTCTCTAAAATGAACCTTTATACTCTTCTAATAAGAATGGAATTTCATTAAGGTCTTTTAGTGTAATAGAAGTCTATTTTTCTATAAGCTATTTTTTTTCTCAGTAACTTAGGGGATATATGTAAATGGTTAAAACAGAATTATTACTCAGCATTCTTTAACATCCATATAACCATAAGAAATAAAAGGATTTATCTGAAATACTTTTGTTCTTCCTTTAAATATTTCTGCACTTTTGAGTTGGTGAATTTTAGCCTCATGCTACTCTAGTTTCTGCATTTCTGAAAATTTTTTAACTGCTTTTTTAGAATCTTTCAACATTTTTAAAAAAATTTCTCTAAAGTTTTCCTTCCAGAGATTTATTATTTCGACAGATAATAAACAGTTCTTGAATTTATTGTGTTTTGAATTTAATGACTTTTGTTAGCTCTGACTCACGCTTTTCTCAGTGATACATTAATTATTTTATCTTTGGATTGTTTTCACATAATGTGTATGCATAGTGGTTATCAGTTTTTTCTGACTTCTGAGCAATAGGTAGAAAACTAAGGCTTAGTGGTAATGAGTCTCTGGGAAAAGTAGTTAAGTGAGACAATGGCAAGTATTTTTTTTTTTAAATTTCATTTATTTATGTACTTTTTTTAGTTTAGGTGGGCACATTATTATTATTATTATTACTATTATTTAATGTGGTGCTGAGGATTGAACCTCATGCATGCTAGGCAAGCACTCTACCACTGAGCCACAATCCCAGCCCAATGACAAGTATTTTAATCTGAAAATAAATATTAGTTGAGATGAAGAATATTTTTCTTTTTTTAAATTAATTAATTAATTTATTTTTATTAGTTGCTCAAGACAATACAATGGTCTTGACATATCATACATTTGATTCAAATAGGGTATGAATTCTCATTTTTCCATGTGTATAAATTGCAGGATCACATTGGTTAATATTTTTCTAATGAGACTTTTCTGAGTATCATCGGTATCCAACTTCTTAAGATTAATCAAATGTCCACAGGTATGCTCTTGTGCCTTTATATTTATCTCTCCCATGAGAAAAAGTAGCTTTCTTGCTGAACATGATATGTACATATACTGGTCAACTTTTTCAAGTTGGCATTTAACAT